GGGGGGGGGGGGAGTATTAAGTACTGAAAAAAAATGATGAAGCTTTATGCTAAATAAAAAGATTCAAGTTTGATCCTGAAAGTCATGGGAAGGCATTGAAAGATTTTAAGCAAAGAAATGCCATGAACAGAATTGCATGTTAATAAGACCACTCTGGCATCAGGCTGATGAAAGGATCAATGCTTGGTGAAACAAATTCATTTAGCAAATACTACTGAAAACTTACCATACACCAAACAAGACTGAAAGCCAGATTACCATTTAGGACGCAACTGCAATATCCTAACCTATGAACCATGGCAGGGGCACTGTCAACAGAGCAGTCCGGTTTTGAGGGTTATGAGGCAGAGGGTAAATCAGATTCGGTTTGGAGTGGAGAAACCAAAGGGGAAATCTAAGAGGATTCCCAACCTCCTGATAATACTGTTTATCAATGTGAAATACAACAAGTGATACTGGTTTTGGTGGACAGATGGTTTGGGGAGAATTTAGATATGGTGAAATGGCCTGTTTGACATTTTAAAAGGCATAGAAAAGAGGTAGTTAGATATATGGATCTAATTATAGTCCTCTAGAGGAGTAAATCAAAAAATAAGCATCTGATCATTAGTATATATTAAATATCTGAACATATGGGTGAGGGTAAAAATAGCCAGGTGCTAGTAAACATTTATGAAATCTCACTTAATTCCTATGAGGTAGACTTTATTATTTTCCATTTTACAGGTGTAAAGAAAAACATGCCCAGGATCATATAGCTACCATGAAGTAATAATTCAAATCAGGCACTTGATTCCAGGGGAAGAAAATATATAGAAAGAAAATATCTTTGCGAACTCTACCACTGGATCACACCCATTAAAGCAAATTTTACTTCCATATTACATTCAGGTTGGAAATCATTAGTTCTTGAAATGACCTCACTGAAAATAGGTCACAGGTGTCCTGGTTGGGGGGTAAGCATAAACCTCCCTTTGTTCTGGGCTCAACACTTAAGGTCTTTAACTCATCATTGTTTTCAGACAGAGTTCAATGTGGTTCCACTTAATTCACTACAAGATTCCTTCTCTGTCTCCAAGGTTTCCCATAGCAACGGTATTTTTCTTATACAAAAAAACGATCCAACTTTGAGTCTTTGTAAATAGAATACCCTTAGCTCACCTTATCCATCTATAAACTTGGCCCTTAAGACTGTTGAGGTCAGTTCCTTAGAGTTCTCCCTCTTCATTCAGGCAAGACAGATTATCCCCATCTTAGAGATTTTATCTTTACCCTGATGATTTTTATAAGAACTTTTCTCCACCAGATTGACATTAAAGGGTGGGGTTGTCCTAGATCCTTTTAGCTTCAAATACAGGTCTCTGTATCTTCTTAGATATATTTTGATCATTCATTAAAGTATTTAGCAATTTATGTGGTTATTGTGAAAATTTTTCTCATCCCAGTACCTTTTATTTTGCTAAATAAAGACATTTAGGAACTACTATTACATGTTTATCTTTTTTATCTGTGTACACCACCACTACCCTTATCTACGCACCCATGTAGTTCAACGAGACTGGAAAAAAACAAAGTATTTACTGCTCAATCTCAATGACTACAAACTTGGCTGTACTGCTACCTTGACCTTCCCTCCTGACACTATAATTAACTGTCAAGATCCCTATTTAAGGTCAAAGGGCCAACTCTCACCACCATGGCTCTAGATTCCATTCCCTCCCCTATTGAAGATACTTCTCTAATAATTCTTCCCGCCCTTTTTCTATCATCTACTTTCCCTTCTACCGGAGATTGGAGGCATGTCCAAGGACACAGGAACCAACCTTGAAAGACCTCCCAATGGCAAAAGCTGGAATAATTTGAGCAACAAAATAAATAAAATAGCACTGAAGTAGAACCTAAAGTATAAAATAAATGAGTCCCATACAGATATAAATAAATAAGAAAGAAAAATTTTTACAGAAGAATTCCAAGTATGTGTAGAGGTAGAGCTTAATTCCCCCAACACCTACTCTGAAGGTGGACTACACTTAACTTGCTTCCAAGAATAGAGTAGGTTAAGAGGAAAATAATAACTACAATGGTGAATCCAGGCAAACCCTATTTTAGCCAAGTGATGAAGGTTAACCTCCCCAGTGATGATGCCGATATACTATAAACCCAGTGATTTGATGAGAAGAGCACATTTACAGGATAATTTTATTTAACTTCAAAACTGGATTCTGATAGTCTAAGATCTTGCACCTAAATGAACACTAAGGTCTTAAGGCAGATAGGTTTTAAAAATCATTGATTTACTATTTTTACTATTACATTTACTTATTATTCACTTATTCACTATTTTACATCTTAAGTTGAACTACCTTTTTGCTTTGTCCTTGTCATCTTCTTCCACCAACCCATCAAAAATACTACCATCATCTCTAAAAGATAAAATTGGATTGAAAAAATAAGAGCACAGTCATTAAGCAACAACAACACTAAAATGAACGTGAGTCAAATCAGTTATATCCCAGAGTTCTGTCAAGTTAACGGACTACACAAATTCAGACCCTGTAACTACTAACCTGCTTTCTAATAAATATTAGAAAATTAAAGTACAGCCATTTTTATTACATTTTTAAAACTTAATTACAAATGTGAATTTTAGAACTACTTACTTAGCTGTACTACACACAACGAACTAACCAGAATTTAATGTAACCAGAAGTTAAATATCTTGTTTCAAACTTTCACTAACCAGTGAAAACCTACAGTCAGTATATTTGCCACTATATAAATGATTAACTTGAAACTATTTTTCATTATAATAGCATCGTTACAAAATCTATTTTCTGAAATATTCACTTTATAAAACCATAAATCACTCATAAACGTCACAATATTTAGCAATGATGACCTAAACCACTGTTTTAAAATATCTAGCAAAATATCCAGCATAATAGCACAGTATATAGCATAATACATTTTCATTCACTATTGATTCATTTGACAAATATTTATTAGCACTCATAAGCCAGGCTCTGTTCTGGACATGGTTACAGAGCAGTTAACCAGACATATAAGTCACTGCTCTCCTACAGCATATTTTCTTAGCAGGAAGAAACAAATCAACACAATACTTTCAACCAAGATAGCTTTAAAAATAAATAAATAAATAATTTTTTTAAATGTATGATAATTTTTTTAAAAAAGGGTGATGTTTTAGTTACTGAATGGTTACTTTAGTCTGAGGGTTTAAGGAAGGACTTGTTGAGATGGGGAACATTTAAGCTGAGATCTAAGTAGCAAGAAAAAGGTGGTGCCTAACCCCTTAACCTAAGGAATAATATTAAATAGTCTCAGGTGATTTATGAGCTTTTACATCAATTCACTATTCACTCTTTTAACCACACCTTTCTGTGGCCTATAAAAGCCTGCAAAGTGTCTGTCAGACGCACTATTGAGATCACCTGCAAATTCTGCATCATAGAAGTCCATGTATGGACTTTTGGAGTTCCATGTATACACTGAAATTTATGAAAAATTCTATATGCATATGCATTTTATTGAGAAGAGAGTCTATAACTTTCATCATATTCAGAGAGATAATCAACTCATATTAAGAACCACTGCTTTAAGTCTGAACACGCAGATGTCATCCCTCCCTAAATGTGATATCGTCTAGAATGGGAATTGACAGTCAGAAGTATAATGCCCAAATCATATTTAATCTCTCAAGAGAGGTGAAGAAGCATCCTTTCTGAGGAGACTACACACAGATCCCACCTGAAAGTACGCATAGCCCAAATCTATGGCAGTGATGTAAGCAGCCCTCTCTAAGGAAACTCCTTACCTCTTAGGTCTTAAGTTCTGGTAGAGTATATATCTTCAGTGTTTATCTCATAGAAAAGAAGGGAAGAAGGGTTGCCCCCAGATGTCAAAAGTCAGCTTATTATACAACTCTAGCTACAAAACTCTTCCCATATGAAAGAATCACACAGTACACTATAATAAAAGCACAGGAACTTCAGTGTCAGACCAACACAGGTCATAATTCCTGCTCATCACATACTATGTGGCCTTAAACACATTATCTAACCTCTAACCTACAGTCTCCTCACCTGTAAAATCTCATAAAATAATTGTGAGTTTAAATAAAATAACATATAAAAAGTATTCTGCACATTAGCTACCTGTCAAAAAGTAGTTGCATTAAAAATGTTACTGTATTTCATTGAATTTAAGCACCAATCACTACTTATCAGCATTTTATGTGCCATTAAGGAAGAAAAAAATGCTACCAATTAAACTATAAGCCAATTGTAAGATGAATACCAATATCAGAGAGGTTAAAATGTAAAAAAAAAGTATTAAAATCAAAGAAACAAGGAGATGTATCCTATTCTCAAGAGTAAGATATAATGATTATAATTTCAACTAATGAAATCCTAATTATAGTTACCTCTTATCAGTCACAAATGCTAAAATGCTTAATGGAATGGAGTTAGCACCAATAAATGAGGAAAAGAACAAGAGATAAGGGGATATATGATTCCAGAAGGTACCAAGGAAACATCTGCAATTGTCACAATTTCTTTCAGAGCAGCTCTGACCAAATACTCGAAAGTATAGCTCAAAGACCCATTTGGAACATAAGCCATACAAGGCTGACTTTGGTTCTAGACAACATTAACATACCTCACCATTGCACTGACTGGCTCAATACAGAAATTAAATGTAATAATAATTAAGTTTAAGCATAAAAATCCTTTTATCAGTTTGATATAGACCATTATTCTAACAGTAAACTTTAAAACAGCTTTATATAATTCAAAATAAAAGTGTCTAAAAACATACCTGTCAATAATCGAGCTCATTTTACTACAGCTTACGGTAAACAACATAACATATTACGTTTTCGTCTTGTGGTAGACATTTGTACTTCTCCTTGGGTAGAAAAAAAATAGTAAATGGTCATTAGTTTTCTAAAAATCTCATTCTACAAACATAGTAATCTTGAGAAACACTATAGGTTGTATAAGGACTTGAGAATATTTTTGTTTATACTAAAGGCTAGAACATTTTTAAGCAAGTAGCTTTAGCCAGGGCACATTTGAGGCTTTTCTCCTTCTAAACAAGGTCTACAGGGGAAAAAATTGAGGTTCGCAATTCATTTTCTATCTACTATAAAATAATCAAAACTTAAAAGCTACACATAGTACTCAGTATGTATATATTAGACTAGTAACTATAAATAGGCTGTAATAATGTCATCTAATCAGCAATAAACATTAGTTGCAGGCTAATTTTTTGTTACACAGTATGGTAAGCTTTGGGAATACAAGGATGAAAAACACAGTCCCAATAGGCAAAAATCTGAAATTAAATAGGAAAATATATACCTAAATAATTATAATAAAAGGAATAATGATGGTAGAGAAAGGAGTCAGAGGAAATACTCTTGATGACAATTAGTTTCCCAGATAAGTCTACAGTGCTCTTACTAAAAATATGGTCCAGAGACCATCAGCATCAGCAACATCTGTGAGCTTGTTGAAAGACAGAATCTTGGGTCCCACTCCAGTCCTTCTGAATCAGAATGGCATTTTAACAATGTCTCCATGAGATTTCTATCACCATTTAAGTTTGAGAAATAACAGGCAGTAAGAGGTAATAGTTGAAATGATTCTAAGCCAAAAGAATAGCAATGTGCAAAGGCACAGGCCTTTGTGAGATGAGGTAGCATCATGGGTTAGCATTTTCTTCAGAGAAAAATCTAGGCATGTCACAACCTAAAGTTTTAATCACTAGAGCATAAAGGAGAATAGGACTGGCAGTGGTGAGAACAAGTAGAGAAAAGCCTTATTATAAAGTCTTACACCCACATCGAAGAAATTAAAATTTATTGCTTTTTAAACAGAATTATAAGCCTAAAATTTGTCTAAATTTTATACAGTTTTTCTAAAGTGTAAGGAAGGCTTAAATCTATACAAGATATTTTGTCCTATAGTCATGAGTTAAATATTGAAAAACCACCTTAATTCTAATAAGTAGCCTAACAGTTTTGAGGCATAAAAATATTCTACTTTATATTTTTATTTAAAATTTAGAAACAGTGCAAATAATTATGTAACTCTAAACTACGTAAGATCAAAGGTGTTCTAAGAACATGAGATTCTAAAATATTTTGTCATTTTCAAATGTACATTCATGAGAGAAGAGAGAATAACCCTTGGTAAATAGTGCTGCATTGCCTGTGTGGTTATGGCTGCAGAAGTGAGACTGTGAAGGGCTAAGACTTCTTTTTCTTTTTCTTTATTGTTGAAAGTATTACAGATGTCCCCTCTTCCCCTCCGGGTCTTCTCCACATTATTGTTTGTGTCCACAAGTCACGTATATACACATCTAAGTTCTTTGAAAAAAAGAGTGGTCCCCCAACGTAAAACTTAAAAGAGCTAGCACCAGAATAAAATGCTGATTTTAAATGTCTGGATTGACATCAGCAGATAAAATACAGGAATTACAGAATTTTGGAGTTAAAAGAGACTTTAAAGATCACCTAAGTACATCTCTCTGGTCCAAAAGACATACTTATTATCATGGTAATAACAAGAGTGATTCTATCACTAGAACAAAAAGAATAGTACACAAAGGTCAGAGCCAATTTGGATGAATTAAAAAGAACAGTTTTAGTTTAAAGTTAAAAGGCCAGATCTACCCGGCAAGGCACAGCTCAGTGGTTGAGCATCAACCTAGGATCCAGGAGATTGCGGTTCAATTCCTGGTCAGGGTACATGCCCAGGTTGCCGGCTCAATCCCCAGTTGGGGGCATGCAGGAGGCAGGGGATCAATGACGACTCTCTCATCATTGATGTTTCTCTCTCTCTCCCTCCCCCTCCTTCCTCTCTCTGAATCAATAAAGATATATTTAATTTTTTTAAAAAGGCCAGATCTAAGCCTTATATGGCACCGAATATATGCTTGTTTAATTATCAAAAGGTAAAATAGGACAAACTAGAAAATGAAAAAAGGACTCCAAGAATTAGGGCTTAGGTTAATTAGGAAGGGCCATGCTGACTGTAAGAACAATGAATAAAAATGGTTTAGAAGATACAGACCAATGCTGTATTAGGCTATTTTAATATTGTCGTTAACAATATTCTTCCAAACATTATGTGCTGTCCAGCTAACTGAACAACATAAGACTGTCTAACACTCTAGTCCAAGATCTTTTCCACCCAACTGATAGACATGCTATATTTAAGGGGAAAGTAAGGGGGGAAAATAAAATAGGCCTAAGACTGGAGCAATTGTTAGAAGATTCTTCTTGACTTCTTTAAAAGGTGTCAAACTACTTTAAGAAAACAAAGTAGTAATGGGGGAACAGTCAAACATCTTGTGTGAAGACTACCCTAGGACTCACACTTTCAGTACAAAAAGACTAGCCAGAGTCACACCTGCCCATGCTATGGATTTTGAGAATTCAGTTTTAGAAGACATGCAATGTCTCTACATACAGCAAGGAATTTCAAGTATATAGTCTAATATAGGTTAAGTTTTATTATTAAAAGTCTTTTTCCTTAAATATTAACATTAATAGGCCAGTATGATATGCAATAATATGTGTTTGAAAGGATCAGTTAATGTCACTAGAATCCAAAGTTCACAAATTAAACTATAAAAGATTACATTACAGCTAGGAATCAAAGGCTCCTTCATATAAGCAACTTGAGCTCCAAGTCATTCAGTGATATGACTTCCCAGCTGAGTAAGCACCACATTACTTACTATTTTATAACAACAAAACCCAAGGCCAATATGTCTTTTATAAACATTTTTAAAACAAGCTTTTAAAAAATATTTATCAAATAGGAAAATATTAATAATTAAGAAACTTTATAAACAATTCAAACTTCGCCAAATACAAAAGCATATATGTTTTTAATTCAGCATGGAACATTACACATAATTAACAGAAAATTTCAGTGCCTCACATTCTGTCTTTGGAAAACAACCCTTATATATAACCCACAACCTAGGTATGTGCTCTGAGTAGGAATCAAACCCGCAACCTTTCAGTGTACGGGATGATGCTCCAGCCAACTGAACCACCCAGCCAGGGCTGGAATATTTCTTTGGGGGAATTCTTAATATCAGTGTCCTCAGATCTTTTGTCTTAGGCTGCTTATAATTCCCAAAGAAGAATCTTCTAAACTACTGACTGAAAATTGTAAAAATCTGGTAGCCTAGGTTCTTAATTTCCTATTTTTAATATAGTACCCCATTCTCAACTATGTTTTATACCTCTCTATATTATTCTTGCTAGAGAATAAATTTCCAGTCTTCTGCTGTGATAAGGAAGAGGCAGTTACCTGGGTTTCCAGTCAGGAAAAGGATCTATAGAGAATTACCTCTAAAACAGATTTGCAACAAATCATCCTGTTTTTACTCCCACCCTTACTCGTATTTGCAGAAGTAGAGTGCTTTCAACTCCTGAACACTTCAGAGGTTCTATAGGACCATGTCTGTTCCTCAGCATTCCCACAGCTGGCTTGGGATTCTAGGGTCTACAAGACAGTTACCTCACATTCTTTTGCCTTTCAGGTTCTAAAATTGTGTTGCAATTGTTTCCTCTCCCATTCCCTTTGTTCTTGTGAAGTTATGTCTTCTGTAAAAAATCCTTTTACTTCAGCCTTAATGAATTTTGAGAGAAAATGGAATTTAACTGTACTGTTTACCATATTTAACTGAAAGTTTCTTGTTCTTTCTTCATCAATTTTAATCGGGCTTTTATCCTCACACACTCTGAAATTGTTCACTCATGTAAGAGAAATCAGTGACATTCATGTTACCAAATCTAATGGCTGCTTTACTTTACCTTCTACTTGACATCTTAGTAGCATGGGATTCGGATGACCACTTCTGCAGTTATTTAAATACTTTTCTTGGCTTTTATGACAGAACACTTCCCTGCTTTTCCACCCATCCCCCTGGCTGCTCCTTCTCTGATTAACAATGGCACATCCCAGGGCTAGATCCTTCTCAGCCTATGTACACTTCCTAGATAATCTCATCTGGACATATGATTCTAAGTATTTTTCTATGCCAATAATTCCCAAATCCATACCCCTAGATCATATTCTCAACTTCGGTGTCGAATTTTCAACTACCTTTTTGATATTACAACAGATTTTACAGGTGTCTAAAATATACAGCAAAACAGAACACTTAACTTTCTTCTGCAAATCTGCCCCTCTCCCATTTTCTTCTCCAACCTGAACTCCATGTACTCTACTCTTTCCCCACTCGCTGTAATCCAGCCACACTTGCTCTTACTGTTCCTCAGGCATTCCACGGTCATTTCTGTTTCACTGCCTCCTCCTCCTCCTATAGCTGAGCCCAAGGAAGCGGACCTCTCACAGATCTTCACATGATCGGCATATTCTTGCCACTCACATCTCAACTGAAACATTTTTCTTCATTGAGGTCTTCTCTAACTACCTAAGGAAAGCAGTCACCAGTCTCTACTATCCATTTTAGTTCTCGGCACAGAACTACGAATGTCTTCATTTGTTTACTATTTGTCCCCTCTCCCTTTAGAATGCAGTCCTCCTGAGAGGAGGAATAGTATCTGAACAAAGCTGGAACAGGATAAATTAATACAACAGGAAAATTTTTAAATAAAACTTTCTTCAAACTATTGTGTCAAGATAGTTTATGGATTTTTAAAATATACTTTTCTGGAAAAATGCCATTCCAAAGTGCATTCCAAGACATGACCCTATCATTACCTTTTGTATTTTTTGGATCTTTTGAACTGATTCTTCAGAAAACTAGAGGTTCAATGTATTCTTCTATATGGCTGACCATCAGTTTCAAAATTCTGTTTAAACAAGAAAAAAAATTATTTGTTAGATTTATTCAACTTACAAGTTTATCATGAAAAGTTTAAAAACTTTGTATATTAGAATTTTGTCACAAACTGTATATAACAAATGCTAAACTCTACAAATTAGTTCTAAAAAGAAATAATTTAAAAATAAAAATAAACTAAAAATCACTTTTAATGTTAATACACAGGTCAAAGGATAAAAGCATAAAAACAACTATAACTACAAAAACATGTTATGGATACACTATCATAAAAGATGTCATCTGTGACATTGATGATAATGTACGGGGCGGGTGGAGAGAAGAAAAAGAGCAGAGTTATTGAAGCTCGGTTGTTAGCTTAAAAGAGATTGTTAAAACTATAAGACGTTTTATGTAAGACCCATGATAAGCACAAAGAAAACATCTATGGAGGATACTCAAAAGGAAATGAGGAAGAAATGAAAGCATGCCACCACAAAAAAAAAAAAATCAATGAGACAAGAAGGAAGATGAGAGAGAGAAAATGACAAAAAGCTGTAAGACACAAAAAATAATGGAAAAAAGGGCAACAGTAAGTCCTTCCCTATCTGTAATTACTTTAAATGCAAAGGGATGAAGTTACCAATCAAAAGACATGGAGCAGCTGCCCTGGCCAGTGTGGCTCAGTGGTTAGAGTGTCATCCCGAGCACCAAAGGGTCGAGAGTTCCATTTTCGGTCAGGGCACATACCCAGGTTGTAGGTTCAATCCCTGGTTGGGGGCCTGTGCATGAGGCAACCAATCGACGTCCTTCTTTCTCTCTTTCTCTCCCTCTCCCTCTCTCTCTAGAATCAATGGAAAGCATATTCTCAGATGAGGTGTAAAAAAAAGACATAGAACAGCTACATAGGTTAAAAAAACACAAAAAAAACCACAAGAGCCATCTCTATACTATCTACAAGAAACTCAACTTTAGATTTAACGACCCACAGAACCACAGAGGCTGAAAGTGAAAGACTGGAAAAAGACAGTCCAAGCAAATGGTAACTAAAAGAGAGGAGGAGTGACCATATTTACATAAGGCAAAACAGACTTTAAGTCAAAAACTGTCACAAGAAACACACACAAAAAGCATTATATAATAATAAAAGATCAATTAGACAGGAATATATAATTATAAATACATATACCCGATATCAGAGTGCCTAAAGATTTGATGCAAACATTGACAAACTGAATAAAGAAATAGACCGCAACACAATAACACATTTCAATACCAGTTTCAATAATGGAGAGAACATCCAGACAGATCAAGATGGAAACAGATGGCTTGAACACTGTAGATCACATGGACTTAACAGACATATACAGAATATTCCACCTATAGCAGAATACATTCTTCTCCAGTACACACAAAACATTCTCCAGGATAGATCACATATTAGGTCACAAAGCAAGTCATGACAAATTTAAGAAGAATGAAATCATATTGAATATCTTTTTCTAACCACAACAGAGTAAAACAACAGAAATCAGTAACACAAGGAAAACTGGAAAATTCACATATGTGTGGAAACTGAGCAACACTCTTTGAACCATCAATGAGTCAAAGAATAAATAAAAAGGGAAATTAGAAAATATCTTGAGACAAAAACATAATACATCAAAACTTATGGAATGAAGCAAAACCAGTACTAAGAAGGAAGTTTACAGCGGTAAATACATTATAAAAAAAAAATCTCAAAGACCCTAACTTTACACCTCCAGAAATTAAAAGAAAACAAACTAAACCCAAAGTCAGCAAGAGAAAGGAAATAAAAAATATTAAAACAGAAACAAACAAAATAAAGACTGGAAAAACAACAGGAACAAAGAAACAAAGTTTTTAGAAAATAACAAAAAAGTAAACATTATAATTGATACCACAGAAATACAAAAATATCATGAGACAATTAGATGCCAACAAATTGAGTAACTCAAAAGAAATGGATAAATCCTAGAAACATACAAGCTACCAAACTGAATCATGAAGAAACAGAAAATTTCAACACACCTTTAACTAATAAGGATATTGAATCAGTAATAAAAACCTCCAACAAAGTAAAGCCCAGGATCAAAGCACTGGTAAATTCTACCAAACATTTAAGAAAGAATTTAATTATCACTAATCCTTCTCACACTCTTCCAAAAAGTTGAGGAGGAGGGAACACATCCAAACTTATCTGATGAAGTCAACATTACATGATACCAAAGCTAGGCAGACTCCACAAGTGAAGAAAACTACAGGTCAGTATCTCCAATGAATACAGACACAAAAATCCTCAACAAAATATTAACAAACCAAATTCGACAACACATTAAAAGGATCATACACCATGATTAAGTGAGATTTATCACTGGCATGCAAGGACGGCTCAACGTACAAAAATTAATCAAGGTGATATTCCACATTGACAAAAAAAGGATAAAAATCACGATTATCTCAACACAGAAAAAGCATGTGAGAGAACTGAACACTCTTTCATGGTAAAAACAACTATAAAAACTAGGAATAGATAGAAATTTTCTCAAGATAATAAAGACCATACATGAAAAGCCACAGCTAAGATCATGAGGAACAAGGCAAGGGTGCCCACTCTCACCACTTCTATTCAACATAGTACTGAAAGTCCTAGCTAGAGCAATTGGGCCAAAAATAAAAGGCATCCAAATCAGAAAGTTTTAAATAAAATTATCTCAAATAGTCAAAATAGTCTTGAGAAAGAACAGAACTAGAGGTCTCATACTTCCTGACTTGAAAGTTACAAAGCTACAGTAATCAAAACAGGATGGTACTGGCATAAAGACAGACATATAAACCAATGGAACAGAATAGGGAGCCCAGAAATAAACCCATGCATATACAGTCAAATAATCTTCAACAAAGGTGCCTAAAGTACATAAGGGAAAAGATAGTCTCTTCAATAAGTGGTGTTGGGAAAACAGAATATTCATGCAAATAAAATTGGACCCTTATCTTACACACCAAAAAAAAGGAGGAAAAAAAGAAAATCAAATCAAAATGGATTAAAGACCTATATGTAAGAACTAAAGCTACAAAACTCTTAGGAGAAAAACACTGGATTTAGCAACAATTTCTTGAATATGACATAGAAAGCACAGGAAATAAAAGCAAAAATTGAAAAATGGGACTACAGCAAACTAAAAAACTTTTGCACAGCAAAGGAAATCAACAAAATGAGAAGGCAATTTAATGACTAGCGGAAAATATTTACAAAGCATTTATCTGATAAGGAGTTAATCTCCAAAATATATTAGGAACTCCTACAACTCAGCAGAAACATCAATTAACCCAATTTTTAAAATGGGCAAAGGACTTAAACAGACATTTCTCCTAAGAAGACATACAAATAGCCAACAGGTATGTGAAAAGATGCTCAACATCACTAATCATCAGAAAAATGTAAATCAAAACTACAATGCAATATCAACGCACATCTGTTAGGATTGCCATTATAAAATCAAAACAAAAAAATCCAAAATTAGCAGGTACTGGCAATGATATGTAGAAATTACAACCTTGTCCACTGTTGGTGGGACTGTAAAATGGTGCAGCCATTACAGAAAATAATATAGAGGTTTCTCAAAAAATTAAAAATAGAAATACCATATGATCCAGCAATCCCACTTCTGGTTATTTATTTAAAATAATTAAGAACAGGAACCTAAACAGATTGTTGTACTTCCACGTTCACTGTAGCATATTCACAATAGCCAAGAGGTGAAACAACTTAAAAGTCCATGAATGGTTAAAGAAAATGTGGTAGATTCATACAATGGAATATATGCAGCCTTAAAAAGAGAGATCCTGTCATATGTGACAGCATGGATGAACCTTGAGGACACTATGCTAAGTGAAATAAACCATTTACAGAAGAACAAATAATACATACCACTTACATGAGGTATCTAAAACAGTTGAATTCATAGAATCAGAAAGTAGAATGATATTTGCCAAGGCCTTGGGACAGACGAAGATAGGCCTTGGGAGAGGGGGAGTGGCTATTCAATAGATATAGAGCTTCCACCATAGATAAGGTTTATTTTTTTCCTCTGACTTCTTTCAGGATTTTTTTCTTTGATTTTCTCTGTTTTGAAAATGATAGGCCTAGGTGTCGTTTGGGGGGGAGGACAGGGGCATTTATCTTGCTTGGTGAACTCTGAGCTTTCTGGATCCATGGTTTAGTGTCTGCATTAATTTGGAGAAAACCTCAATCATTACGGCTTCGAGTATTTCTTCTGCTCGTTCCTCTTACTTTTCCTTCTCATATTCCCATTACATGTATGTTACACCTTTCATAGCTGTCCCATTATCCTTGGATAGTCTTTATTTTTCAGTCTTTTTTTCTCCTTGCTTTTCAGTTTTCGAGAATTCCACTGAGATATCCTCTAGCTCAGAGATTCTTTCATCAGCTGTGCCCACTCTGCTAGTAAGCCCATCAAAGTCATCCTTCATTTGTTATAGCTTTTATCTCTAAAATTTCTTTTTGGTTCTTTCTTAGGATTTCCCTCTCTCTATTTACACTGCCCATCTGTTTTGCATGCTGTCTACTTTATCCATTGGAGCCCTTAGCACATTAATTATAGTGTTTTAAATTCCTGGTGTGATAATTCCAACAGCCTTGCGATGTCTGGTTCCGTTGCTTGCTCTCTCTCTCTTCAAATTGTGTTTTTGCCTTTTGGCATGACTCAGACATGATGTACTGGGTAAAAGGAACAGCTGTAAATAAGCCTTTAGTAATACAGTGGTGAGGTGTAGGGACAGGGGAAGTAGTGTATAGCCCTATCATTAGGTCCAGTCTTTTAGTGAGCGTGTGCCTCTGGGCTATGAACTTCACAAGTGCTTCTCAGTTTTTTTCTCCCTCCTTAGGTAGGATAGAATTGTGAGAGTGGGACAGAGTTGGGTATTTCCCTTTTCCCACATGAAGGCTAAAGGGGCTGGGTATTTCCATTCCTCTAGGTCATTTAGGCT